AAGAGGACATGGATCCGTTCCAAGCTTTGAGTTTGCCTGGCAGCAACCATGGTATGAACGGGGTTGTTGGCCCAGACTGAGATCAAATCACTTCCCGAGTGGAAGGAAGATTGGATCCGTTCCTCAAACGGCGCTCTTTTCTTTTTCGGGGGGGCTCCAAAGGAGCTGGGGATGTTGCCAGCCCTGCGGAAAACCAACCCTAGGAAAAACCAGCCCTAGTAAAAACAAAGAAAAACACAGTTACCGGGCACCGGGCTCCAAATCCTTCACATGCCTTGAGCTACTCAGGCATGAAGCATGCGCTTGTGAGCTGGGAGCCAGGTACGCTCACAAGGGGGACTTGCACAACATTCTGTGTGCTTTGGGCAAGCTTCAAGAGGCCTGGAGACAGAATTAGGAATTGATCATCCTTGCAGTGGAATCACTCACTCGGTTGGCAACCGTGTTTGCTAGGTATTGCCATTGCAAGAATCACAACTTGTACGTTTCCCGTTATTCTTTGGGTTGGGGTCCCCTTGAAATTTGAAAGCATCCTTTTCTCCGGCCCTGTACCCACGATTGAATCGAGGAAGCCGTTGCCTTTACCCCTGGAAAGGACCCACCTGGCATGAAGAAAGGGACACCCGTGTGCATGTTGTTTGAAGTTGGCATGTGATGGATTGTTGCGGTGACGTGGTTCTGTCAAGCATACGCGGATCTTCCTGGCCTAGCTTTTGTGCCGCTTTACTGTACTCGGGTAAGGGAACGACATGCTTGAGGTGTGGGAGCAAAAGATGTGGAGTTGCCATTTTGGCATACTGTGACCCAGCAGGCCTCGCTCTCATGATGAATTGGATGGGTTTGGGGTCGCTTAGTGTTCCCGAAGGCAATCCCAACGTGGGCCCTCAATTGGACACGTCGGCAGAACAAGCACTTTTTGGCAGCCCGAGATGCCGTTCACGCGCAGTACCACTTTCTGGTCACTGCCGGCTTGCAACTTCTGGGGACTCAACCAATGGCAGAAACACACCGAAGCTTCTATTCTCACATTCAGATGGAATTGCAATTGAACGGGAATTGCCCTCTCCGTGGTCTGTTGACGTGGAGCCCCATGTAAATGACGTCCACTAAACGGGTCCAGGCATGTCCCAAGGTCAAAATTAAGCAATTTCCCAAACTCAGAACTGGGCTGTCTCCTGCAAATCCAGCATTGGGGCTGGCGCTGTGAGAAACTGAGAAGAGACTGACGCACGTACATGCAAGTAAGCACGCAGGCTTGCGGGCCCGCACGCACGCACGCCGGCCCAACCGCCCGCCCGCCCGTGAGCGCTGTCGCCCTCATGCCAGGACTTCCACACACGCAGAAGAAATCACACGTGGATTATCCATCCATGCATCCATGCATCCCTCCCATCTTACTCCATCCAATCCTATCCCATTCTATCCCATTCCAAATCAGCTTCCATCCTATTCCATTCCTCCAGCCACGCTTGTGGAAGCTCCCATAGGTGCTTACCAAGGGAACCCCCCCCCCCCACGCTGATAAATTAGTCATGGAAATCAACCACTGAAGTCTCACCCTCCACGGCCGCGCCAGGATGTGGCGCAGTTTTTCGTGGGCGAAGTGGTCGCAGCGTTGTGCGCCATCCATGAAACAGGCACTCGGGGCTTGAGATGGGTTCTCCAAAGGTTCCTGTCGTAGGGATCTGTTATTTGGAGGTGCATCGCTACAACGCATTCAGATAGATGTAAGTCGCACCGTATGGCTTGATGGGTCTGTCTTCAAATCGGGAGCCCTCCCAAAGAGGGCTTTGGCTTCCTTTTTTTTGTTTTGTCTTTCTGAAAACAACTCCGGAACTGGTGCCAGCTGAAAAAGGGGGCATGCAGATGCGATGACTTTACTCATTTATTTAGTCCTTTTGACCTACCATCTAGCACGGGGCGAGTAGTTCCGAGAATGGTAAGATGTTGAGTCCAGGAGAATACCCTTTGAGGGCAGCAGTGCGGATCTTAAAGTGTTCGGATCATATCCACCGTAGCCATGATCAACACACCGTGCCCCTAACTGGTTCGCCCCCCCTAGCTGCAGGATTATATTTTATATGTTGTGCGGCCCCACATCATTCGGCATCCGGCATGGCAACGCATGGGTTCTGTAGGCGTTTCAGACATGGGTGTGACCCTTTTCGGGTTGCTGAGGGAAGATGGGAATCACCGAGACCCTTTGTCTTCCCACCAATTCGCCCACGATGCTGTATGGCCGCGGGTCAAAACCAATGGTACCATTTTGGGATGGGTGCACCACCCATGTTAGTCTATTTTAGCGGGGATTGGGGATGTTCACTGGGGGCTAACCGGGGTTTTGACCCATGGCCGTATGTCATACCTCCCTGGCAGGCAGAGCCAGTTGCCCAGCCGTCCCCCATGGAATTCGGGGAATATGGAGATGGAGTTCGAGCCCCGGAATTCCAAAAAGCTCCGTGTTCCTAGGAACCTGCCCCCCGCTTCCGTGGGAGAGGTTCCACCCATGTTTGTGCTATCTGGGTTACACCCCGATTGCTTTGCCAGGGTGTGCTTTCTTAGTCGTGGGCACATTTAATTTTGGACTAGGATAAAACTTGTGTTATCTTTTGTTAGGCTGGGTGTTCCTTCAAAATAGGGTGGCCTTTTTTCCCACCAATTGTCAGAACAGTTGCATTGGTTGTTTAGATGTTCATGCCGTTCTGTTCACTTCCCCAAATGCGGAGGCTTTGTGTACGCGGACCTGAAGCCAGAAAATGTGGTGGCCCGGTGCTCGGTGCATTTGCTCCAAAGGAGCCCTTGCTTCCACAGGGGAAACTAGTTCGTGCCCGAAAATACAACCTGTTTAAACTAGGTCCCTCAGTAGTGCCCTTTTACCCTTTGTTTGGGGAGGGTTCCCCTACTAAAATAGACGGGTACCCTTATTCTAACCTCTGGAGGACCTAGTATACCCTTTGTAAAGGTGGGCGCTCTCAGTTTCAAGTGGAATGGTTGGAGCGGCTTCGGCACCCACCGCAGGTTCTTAGCATCGATTCAGTTGTGTACCTGAATCGATCGTTGCGCAACTTGTTGTCATTTGCTTGCACCAGGGCGTCAACAGGCACCGTCAGGGTGTTGGAGTTCTGGAGGCTCATGCCACCAACATCAGTTTTTACCGCAGTGCCCCTTGCCATCAGTTGGTGTATCACCCGAATACCAGCATTCCACCAAGGGGTGCCCGGGGCGTTTTTGTTTTTTTTGCGCGGCGCGTATCCCTGGGTTGCTTTAACGCGAAAGAACAAAGGGCAGCCGAAGTCCATCTCAGATGTCCAACGCCTATTGTGAGGCCATCATTCCGCGTCTGGATATTGTAGTTTCGGCACTTTATACATACCTGCATTTGAACATATAACATGCCATAAGACCATGTATATGTTTTGTCCAGGCATGAGGCCCCACTGCGCCGGAGTCCACTTGGATTTTGGGAATGCCTGAGATCACCTCCTCGAACCACGCGAAGCTCACGGACTTTGGGGGGTGCCGGCCCATCACGGAGCAGGCGCTAGGATGGGACGCGATCTGGAGAGAAGCCGGAAAAGAGCAATCGAGACTTTTGCTGAGTTTTGCCTTTTGACTTTTTGATAGAACAAGAGAATGTCTAGTCTAATGGAGAGATAGAGGGAGAGAGAGAGAGAGAGATAGAGAGATGGAGACAAAGCGAGCAAACGAGGGAGAAAGGATGAGAGCGAGGCAGAGAGAAAAAGAGAAAGAAAGGAAGCAAGAAGGAAAGAAAGAGGGAGAGTGAGAGAGAGAGAGCGAGAGACAGAGAAAGAAATTATATAAATATGAGGAGGAGGAGGAGGAGGAGGAGAAAGAGCGTTGAGGGCAGAGAGAGGCATTGGTTCGTGTTGTTGTACTTTTGACTTGTTTTCTGGATTGATTGTGCCTTCTGACTCCTTTTTCCGACGATATAGATGCGCCTAATAGTGCAGAAATCCTCTTGGACGGGGGTCCTTGATTTTACTCATATCAATATATTAAGCCGAAAGGAAACTTACAAATCAAATCAATTTGGGGTGAATTCCCGTTTTGACTCACAGCCAATTACCGTCCAACTACTCCAGGTTTTTATCGTAGTACCCGGAAAATGGATGTACCAAGCCCATCTTGTGGAAATCTTTGGACAGGGTGTTACAGACAAACGATCACACGGGAATGGACTATCATCTATGTTGAAAGCCGAAAGCAGCATGTATTTTTGGACATTATTTCGATGAAAAGAAATGTGTCGCTTCCGACTTTGGATTCGAAGCTGCGGGCAGCCTTTACCATCCCTTGAAGCAATCGGCTTCGCTGGTGGTTCAGAATGGTGAGAAATCTTCACATCTCGCTTGTTCCTGGTTTTGTTTATGTCTTTTATGGGAAAAACAAGAGAACAACAAAAAACATCTAGCCACTCCAATTCTGGAAGTGGGCCCTGGGTCAAGTTCCGTCGCATTTAGCTGCTGGCTCGAGCACCATGAACACCATGATAGGCTCATGGCTGCTGTGCCTTGCAGTAGCTCGGCCTGACAAATTAACTTGGGCAACAAGGACTTGAGGTTTGGTCCATCTACTTCATGGCCCAACAAATCTGTCTTTCAGAGTCTCAGACGGGCTTCGGCAGGGCATGTCAATCCAGTAATTTGTTTTGGACTTTTAATCCCTGCTCCCCCTTGGGCTTGGGGACTGAATGGAGGGGGGTTGTCCCGTTTGGCCGCATGGGAGGCACGCGGCCGGTGCAAGTGATCTGAAGGTGAACCCGGATTACTCATTCGTGAGAAAGCAGATTCCAAGTTTGTTTTTAGCTCATGTTGCCCATTTGGTGGGTGACTGTTCAACTGTTCCCGCAGGTTTGCCGCCTTTTTCAAGGAGGAAGTGGAGCCCATAGGTTTCATGCCGAGGGGGTTCAACGCCTGAGGCTTTGCCTGTGGCGCGAGGGCACGGGCAGCTCACGAGGCCCTTGGTGCGCCAGGATTCTGATGGAGAAACGGAGAGCTGGAGGCAGCGCGCACCGGTGTACACGCTGGGAGGCGGGTTTTCAGACGGGTAGGAAACGGTAGGAAACGGTAGGAAACGGTAGGAAACCGGGGGGGGGGTTGTCGAGGGGATGTTTTTCCCTTTTTTTTTAGGGTCGGGGGAGAAGTTTGGGACCGATTTTCAGGGGACGGAGTTTGTTTGTTTCCGTTGTGGTTTGGCAACATATTTAGGCAAGTAAGAGATGGTTAGGATTGGGTGGGATGGCTTGGGATGCCTGCTTGACTGCTGCAAAGTTAAAGGTCAAGGGCTTGCTTTTTACGAAAGATAGCTGTGCTAGTGGGAAATCTCAACACTCGAATCCCGGACTGTCCGCCGCCCACCGCTGCCACTTCCACGTCAGTTCATTTTGCACTTAGTTTCTCCCTTTGCTCTGTGTCCCTCGATCCCTCGCTCTTGTTGCTGCTTTTATCTTTCTGCTTCGCCCTGTCCCTTTTCCCTTTGCACAAATGTTTCCACGCTCACCACAGATAAACGTGTCAGTTCTTGAAGGAGAATTTCAAACAAATAGGGCTGAAACAAAATGCCCGATTGTAGTGAGGTCCGCAGGGGCTCACGAATTGGAATCACAGATGTTTGCTGAGTCAAGACCTTGACAGTGCCGTTTGCAAGGAGGAAGGCAACCTGAAGATTCACCAATCCTGGGTGCCCAAGTTGCCACTCGCTCTGAACTAAAGCTCCCACCGTTCGCTCTGGTCCTCGCATTTCCCTGCCCCTTCTCTTTTCTCCTCTCGCCCTCATTCCTCTTTGTCGCCCCTCTCATTTTCTCGCCTTTGCTCGCTCAGGCGCCTTGATGTGTAAATTGCGCAGTGTTTACTTCAGCTTTCAAGCGGAAATGGTTTAACCTTCTTTGTTAAATGCAAATGCTGAGTGGGCATTGTGCAGGGAGCGCTTTCGGGGAATTGCGGTACGTGCTCTTGCCGTGGCATTGGTGTTGTGAGAAACGCCGGGTCCAAGGAAGGCCATTTCATCGGACCTGTGATTCCATCAAAAAGCAAGCCGGGACCATTTGACTCCCTCCTGGAGTCCAGGGCTCCTTAAAAGATACATGTTGCCCATTTGAAACTTGGCTTTTTCCATCAAAATAAAGGAAACAACCATTTACAAGGCAATGTTCAGGTGTATAATGTAAGGGGATCCCTGTGGAGGTGGTTTCAAAGGAAGACTGCGTATGTGTTGGAGTTGGTAGAGGGTAATTAACAGGGAAACCAAAGAGCACCCAAGCCCGTGTGAGAGCTCTTTCATATGCCAAGACACGTGAGTTTGTCAGGAAACCCGGACATTCTGTTAGCTTCCCTTTAAAACTAACCCTTAAGGAGCTTCCCAAAGAAAAAGAGCACCCCTGTGTAAACCTAGCATCCCAAAAGAGGGCAATTACTTTAGACATATGCCCACAATCGTTGGTCATGCAGTTCTTTGGCACCCAGATCGCGGTTCCAGGCAATCGCGATGGCTACTCCGCCACAAGCAGCTCGCAAGCATTTGGTTTGTTTGTGGAGCAGTTTGCTTTGGTGTTTCAAAGCAACCAGGAGTCGTTCCAAAGGGGCAATCAGGAGTCGTCATGAAGGTTCAAATGCTGGATGTTGCGGGGAGCTATGTCTGTGTGTGTGTGTTGTCATTGAGAATGATTACGCTTTTTTTGAGGTGGCTTTGAAGGGAAGCCAAGAAGAGACCACCCGTTTTGAGTGTCCCCTATTTGGGTTGTCTTCCAATTCCGCGCGCAAAATTGAGGACCCTAGAAATGCTTGGCTTCCTTTAGTTTTTCTTCATCCACCTCAAGGTCCAAAATTAAGCTTACCCAAGTGGGAACGTCTCAGGAAAAAAAAAGCAGTGCTCCAGATAGAATGCCCAGCGATCAAGGCAAGTTCAACACGGATGAGTCCAACACTCAACTTGCTGGTGCTCAGTAGAAAATGAGTCACTGAGGGAATGAACCTGGGGGTCCGCTCAAAGGAAGCCACCATTCCATGTTTTGTTTCTTTCTTTTTTTCGGGGTCATTCCATTTCTCATTCCCTGACAACCTGGCTGGTGAGTGTGCCTGGGCATGGGAAAGGCTATGGGTCAAAACCCCGTACCCCCAGTGAACATCCCAATCCCCACTAAAATAGACTAAAATGGGTGGTGCACCTACCCCAAAATGGTACCATTGGTGTTGACCCACGGCCATATGAGGCATGCGATGTCATGACTTTCAGCCAACCGTGGGCGGCAAGGGTGTCCTTGACGCTGGCCTCAGCTTCGACACTTGGAGCAACTCTTTTCGGCTCAGGTCCCGGCCCGTGATCAAAGGCGACGGGAAGTGGCTGTGGCTCAAAAAAAAACGGTACTACAATGGCTTGCGCTGGTAAGTGGAAACGTGGACCAAAACCTGCGGTTTGCCCCTCCTGTTTAATTTTGAGCCACACCCAAGTGGAAAAGGAAAAATGCACATGAGGGTTTCCCTTCTTGGAAACCTCAACTTGCTTTCAAGTTTGATTTATTCATATTTGAACATCCACCAAAGCAGATCCCCCTCTCTGACACATTTCCCGGATTCAACAAGCAATTCCGCACGTACCACATGTTTGTCCACCTATTTTAGGGTGCTGATTGGTTTTTGGCAGGTTGACTGACCATTGCTTTGGAGTTTGTCAAAGATTTCACAAAGGGGGGTTCGCTTTGAGAGCCCATGACAGAGTTTTCAATTTCGGCCTGACGCGAAAATAAAGTTCATCAACCAGAAGGAGTAGAGCAGGGTGTATGGCCAGAGTGTGTTGACACGCAACTGCTACCTATGGGATATTGGGTATGCTTGAAATGTCACTGCAGGAGGCTCAGGGTGATTAGTTCAATGCACGGAAAGTCTTTGTAGTGTTCGGTGCAACAAACTTCATGCTTTAGGCGTATTGCCTTGGAGACCCTCAAATGATGTCCTGGCAAAGCGATCAGCATGTGGCAAATCATCGCGAAGTTGAGCATGATATCTTCGATTCCCTTGTTTGTCGTCCACCTTCCCCACAACCGCACACATTTGGCATTGCATGAGATGAACTTGACTCAGGAGGCCACCTGGACGATGGAAGCTGGACATCCGGGCGATTGCTATTTCTACTTGAGCATCTTGGTGAAAGCTTTGCAGGGAACCCACTGGCTCTCGCTTCTTGCTGATGTCCTCAATGGGAAGCCTGTATTCTTGAACTCCTGTTTCAGCCCCATTTTAGTGCGAATCCTCACTTGTGGAAGCACTCCCTAAAGATCTGCCAGGTGGATCAATCCGGAGTCGGGTGAATGTCGACCTGTCATCCAGCTTCTGAGGTTATGATGATCCCAGCAACGCGGTGTCCAAGCTCAGATTGGGGGGAAGACGGGACCAGGTCCGGAAAGCCGAGAAAGTCCTAGAAGACAGGTACCTATAGGGCTGGGTGCTTTTGAGACTTGGGCACCCAAAGTGAGGGAAACCCTCAGGCGCAACGCAGGCTCCCTCGTTGAATGTCCACTTCTGATTAATTCAGCCTCTCCCCCCCCCCAAACAACTGAGGTCCCTCAAACAAAGTTGGCAAAGTATACCAATACTAAACTAAGTATTGGGAATACTAGTTTTTGAATTGCATTTGTTAGGGGAGTCTTTTCAATTGACATTAGTATTGCAACTGCAAACTTGGAGTTTGCAGTTGGTTTCAGTATTACAGAATCAATTATGGAATTGGCTCGGCTGCCTTGGCTGCTTTGGCTGCTTTGGCTGCTTTGGCTGCTTTGAAGAGTCTGGGATGGGGAGCTGGTGATTTTGGAAGGAGGCTGGCCAAACAACTTTATTTGGGGACCGCTCTCAAATGATTAAAGTTTTTGCATGAGATTCAGGGCTCCCGTGTGGTACCCGCTTTGTGAGATTGTTTTGTTTTTTTTGACAAACTGATTAAACAGGTCTGGGAGCTCCTGCAATTTTGGATTTTGAGCATCACCCAAAGAAAGAACTTGCTTTGGCAAGAACGGGTTGGGTTTGGGATTTTGATGAGGGCATTCTTTTTGAAGAGGTTGGGATGGGGAGCTGGTGCTTCTTTTCTTTCTTTCTTTTTTTTGGGGGGGGGGTTGGCCAAAAAGCTTTATTTAGGACCCATTGATTACTCAGTCCGGGGTCCCCCAAAAGCTTTATTTGAAGACCAATTACTTATTGTAGGGTGACATTGCAGGATGTTGACAACACGGCCGTTTTGGGACGACATCTTTGGGCAATGCATGTCGAGGCGAAACAACAGTCGTCTAAACAAAACCACGGAAGAGTGGGCCCTGACCAGTTTCAGTCCCAGCTCCCGATTAGCCATGGCCTGCCTTTCTACCTAGGGATGAGCGCAAATAGGCCACGGTTGTTCCTGTTGCACGTAGAGATGTTGCTCTTTTGTTTACAAAGAGCGCGGCATGCCTGCATCCTTGGCTTGACAACAGTGCTAGCCCTTTCCCCTTTTGGATCCAAAAAAGGATTCCGTTTCGTTTGAACGACTGTGTACTACTTGTTGCTGGGCAGCTGGGATGTGGCGGCCCCCTTTGCGGACCGCCTTGTCATTGATGGTTCGAACAAGGCCATGGTCCCAAACAGCCTTGCATTTAATGAATTTGTTTGATACTATGGTTATGTCTATGCAAAAAGGTCGCGCTTTTTTCCAGCGCTTGAGCCAATGGCGGTGCCATTGAATGTGCCGAGTGTGCTTCATGTTCCACACTCCCCCTGCAGCCATTCAGCTGCACCATCAGACCACATCCCAATTGGATGAGTCCGAAGATGAGGCCCTCTTATCGGATTCCTCATCTTGAAAATCTTCTCGAGGCCTACGGTCTCCATGAAAAGTTCCAGTTGCCGGGAACGTCAAGACCGGCCCCGCTTCCTGTCCCCGCTTCTCCGAGCTGCCTCGTGCATAGCCGTGGTGGACCTCTACGCCACCAGAACCACTTGCACTTGGATCTACGCCCGTCGAGGCCCTTGAACGATTCCTCGTGGATTTCCAGCCAGACTTCTTCTCCTTTCCGAACTTGATCTGGAAGAAGGTGTACCCCCGCCATGGTTGCATCTGCGAGGTTCGTTGTCGCTCTTGATGAGCAGTCCAGCTGTCCTCCTCGACGGACCGAATACCCAAAGGCGATGTGCCCGTGTGTAGCTTCACCGTGATCCTCCTCGATTCCAACTGCGCTGCATCCAGCGGGAACTCTCGGTGGATCGGATGAAACCTGCGTTTCCGAGGTTTGCCATGCGCCCGGATGGCCCATCCCGGCTGGGACCAATCCCACTCGTCCTTATTCTTGTTCTTGAGCTTCGGGGGAAATTTGTACTGGTCGAGTTCCCATGGTAGTACTGGTCCACCCTGATGAACATCTTCTTCTTGATTATCCTGCTTCTTCTCCTCCTCAATCTTCTCCTCCACTATTGACTTCCTTAACAGCCACCTCAAGGCTCGTAGCCGTGGTCGAACTTCTCGCTCGCTTGGGGCCCTGATGTGAGTGTTCCCAATCCTAGGACGAGCGGGTCCCGCATCATCCGGGTTGTTGTCATCCCTCGGACTGCGGCTTCGTTCACGCTCACCCGGTAGCGAAGTGATTCCCAGGTCCCGCAAGCTCACATTACCCCGCAGAGGGGCCACAAATGTCGTAGACCCCGTCCAGGCATCTGCTTCGCGAAAAGCATCCATCCTCCAGTTGTCGTTGATCACCCGCCGCCCGCGCCCGATGTCGACGAAAACCAAATTGGTCTGTCGCCGGCTTTCCAGCATCGTAGCGTTGACCCCCGGAGGCATGTTCCTTGGATCCGGTTGAAAGTCCCGGTTTCTCCTCAGCATATGGATGCGGGTCGCTACGATGAAGTCTCGCTCAAACGTCACCTCCCAAAAGTCCTCAGGCTCTTCATCCAATAACCCACGAATTGGACCACCCGGCGGTTCAGGCCATGGCTCACTTGGTGCCTCGATCGGCACCTGACCCTTACCTATTGATGCAGGGCAGCCCGTAGGGCAGTGGTAAAACAGCATGCGGCAGGGGTCCTCTGGTTTCACCCTCGGGGCTGGTTCATTTTCCCTAGCCCATCTTGATGTCGCCGGTTCATGTTCCCTGGCGATCTTCCGTTCTGTCGGTTCATTTTCCCTGACAGAGAATCTTGCTTCCACCGGTTCATCATCCCTGGTGGCAAGCTCCCAAACAGAGGGGTCCCTTGGTGTGGTCGGTTCATCTTCCCTGGTTCATCATCCCTAGCCGATCTTGGTTCCCTCGCAGGTTGGGCCCGATGGCCTTTATACACAAATCCTAACCCAACACCAAGAGCCGCCAGACAAAGCTCCTTAACCGCGTGAGACCGGGGATCCTGCGGCTTCCAGCATGCCACAATCCCCATGAGCCCACTCAGTGCTGCCACCTTCATGACGGTGTCCTTGGTGAGGCCCTTCTGGAGCCCGATGGCTTCTTGGTTCATCACTCCATCCACCCCCGATGTTGCCAGGATCATGCCCGTCATGGCATAGAACCTGATCCACTGCGACCTGGAAGCTACCGTCTTCGTGAGGTAGTCTGCAACCAAATCACACCCTGGCAAATGTCGAACTTGCCATTCTCCACCTCTCACTCTTTCTCGCAACACATTGGCACGCAGCCGAAGATGCCGTGTGCGCCACGGCCCATCTGGATTCTGAACGATGGCCAACGCCGCCGTGTTGTCCCCGTATATCACCTTCTCTGTGATTCCTCCGCCATTGTGGCCACTCTCCATGATGTCCAAGACCGCGCAGAGGGAGTCACCCATGATCATGGCCTCGATGTAGCCCACCAGTTCTGCTTCCGCTGTGCTAAGGGTTGCAAACGGCTGGCGGCTGGATTCCCACTGAACCAAGGCGCCACCATAGAAGCCGAGAACGCCTTGGTGGCTCTTATCCCCCAGCGGGGCAAAGGAGATGTCTGCGTACATCTCTAATCTCCTCATCGACCTCGCGAACGGTAAACCTCCATCTGGCCCTCTGTCTCCCTTGCAACACCCGTACTTCAGGCCCATTTCCTTCGTGCCGTACAAGTACGCCATCCTCTCCATGCCGACCTTGTCCACCTCCTGCGGACAGCGTGTCACATGTTGTGACATCCAAGAAACTTTGAAGGACACATCTGGTCTCGTCCGCACCGATAACCATAACAGCTCTCCAACCAATCCCTGAGCCGCCCGAATAGCCTCTGGCGTCATCTGCGGGTTCTCGGGGATCTCCAGCTTGCTGAACGGGACCGGTCGAGCACACTCCACGTTGTGCCTCTTTATCAGCTCCGCAATGTAGGAGGGCTGAGCCACGTGTAGATCTCCATCTCCATTCCATCTCAACTCCATACCGCAGAACTTGGTCCAACCTTCATGGTGAACCCATTCCGGCAGGCTGCAGACCCATTCTTCATTGATCCGCTTAATGATACTGTCCACCAAGCCTCCAGCTGCCAGGAAATCGTCCACGTAGATCACGACGTATCCACAAGGAGCTTGCCGCCCATCTGTCTCCTCCTTCTGCTCCATCACCGCCCACACATTGGACTCTGTGGTCTGCTGCAGCTTGAAGCTCCGGCCCTCATGCTTCCACTCGAAACCCTTCAGGCGCTGGTCTCTGAAAGCCGACCAGTCCGCTGGGCTGGTCTCCAGACCGTACATGGCTCCTTGAACAAGCCAGCGCTCCGAAGCCGGAACGATGCCCGCTTCCACAAACACCTTGGGGGGCCTCGTGATGAGGACCCTCCTCTTTTCCTGCCGAGGTGCTAAAAGGAAAGCACATTTTACGTCCACCGTGGCCAGGTCCCACCGCTCGTGTGCAGTTTTCCGTAGGACGCATCTCAAAGCCGTGCCGTCGATGCCTCCCGCATAGTTTTCCTTCTTATCCACCGCTGACTTCGAGCTTTCACCATTGCCGTCCGTCAACAGGTTACCGCATATCACCGCCCGAGCTCTCTTCCTGCCCAGCGGAGCCTTGATGGTCGTGACCAGCTTCCCGGGGGCAAACTCCGCGTTCTCAATGCCCGGGATGCCGTTCAAATCCTTCTCGTCCACTGGTTTCACCACCTTCGTGCCGTTCACCAAGGCATTGTACTCGTCAGTCATGGCTTCCTTCCAGCTTTCCAGATCTCTTCTCACCTCCTGAAGCGGCACGGTGCGCGTCTGTAGAGCCTTTTCCGGCTCCTCTTCGCAACCTCCCTTCAACAAGGCCATCCGATAGCCCTTCTCACCCTCGTCCTTCTGAAGGTTCCCCAGGTCGTCTTCCAGCTGATTGATGCCACCCATGAGGAATGCCACCGCAGCACCATGTGCAAATCCAAGTTCCTCACCCATGGGGACAACCTT